ACTTCAAAATATGTGTCAAAGGCGTCCATTGCTTTTGTATTTTATGCCAAGATGAACGTTCCGATTCACTCACAGTGCGTTCCGACTCACTGATAAAACATTGTCGTTGTGCTTAATAATTTATGTAAGTATTGGACTTTTTATCCTTACAATAAGTAGTCTTCGCATATCTATTATAAGTTGCTTCGACCATTTTCAGAAATACATGTATCTCATATTATTTATTTTCTTCTTTGTGCGTTATCTTATTTCAATGAATATATGTATTTAGATAAAAAATGTTGACGTGTTGGTTTAATAATGTAAAACACCGAACCGGCAGATAGTTAACAGAACGATTAGGTGTACTGTACTGGTATACTACATACTATTATATATTTATAATAATATTACATATTTAATCGTCTCTCTTTTATAGACATATACATATTTACATTATATTGGATAACGACTGTAATATTTTATTCCGTATTCTTTGTTTCTATAATTTACTTTAGTGGCCTTACTATGTTCGAATCGTCACACACAGATTCTGAGGACTTATTAGCTAGTAGTGATGACGAGAGTTTTTTGAGTGTCCCTTCTCTGAGCGACTTATTGACTAGTCAGTTCTCTGGCGTATCAGGTAACTTTAATGTTGTTCACATCAATGCCCAGAGTATTCCGGCTCATTTTCCTGATATGCTGGCTTCCTTAAACTGTACGAACATCCACGCCATCTGTGTCTCCGAAACATGGTTAAAGCCCTGTCTTCCCTCAGCCTCCTACTCATTACCTGGCTTTCAACTCATTCGAAATGACCGCACGTGGGGCGGCGGTGGTGGTGTAGCCATCTATCTCAGAGCGCATATTCCACATTCTATTGTGAGTATGTCTACACAACCACCGCCTCCGAATGCTGGCGAGCACCTCTTCCTGGAGGTTGAACTCCATCATAACAAAATACTACTCTGTACTTATTACTGTCCCTCTTCCCGCATTGACTTCTTCTCTTCCCTAGATAATCTCTCAGAATCCTTTACTCCTTCCTATAGTCATACCATCCTCGCGGGCGACTTTAACACTTGTCTTCTTAAAAGTGATTTCCGGTCCTCGTCCTTTCGTGACACATTAGAATCGAACAATCTCTCCATTCTTCCTCTGAGTGCCACACATCACTTCCCAAACTGTACCCCCTCACTCATTGACATCATCGCTGTGTCGTCACCTGAACGTGCAGCCTGTCACGGCCAATTTTCTGCGGATGCTTTTTCATACCACAATCTTCTTTTTCTATCCTATAAAATCCGCACACCAAAAATGAAACCTACAATCCTCCTGCAACGCAATTTTAAAGCCATAAATGTAACCAAGCTCTGCATGGATGCAAGCAGTATTGACTGGGGTCGTTTATATGAATTGGGTTCCATTGACCAAAAAGTAGACTTTTTCAATAATACTCTGATCAGTCTATACAACATACACGCTCCACTGCGCAAAATAAAAGTCAAGCATCTGCCATCTCCTTGGCTTACTGCAGATATAAAACTCCTCTTGTCTAAGAAATCCGCAGTTAAGTCCCGATTTAAGCGCTGTCCAACTAGTACAAATTGGGAGAAATACGTCGCAATTCGGAATCGCTGCAACAAGGTGTGTAGGAATGCACAACGCCAATTTATCTATACCTCTGTTGAACATGGGGATCCGGCCAAGGTCTGGCAGTTTCTTCGATCACTAGGAGTTGGGAAGTCACGGCAACATACGGCTTCCAAAAACGTAAATATCGAATTGATGAATCAACACTTCTCCACATCGTCTCCTTTTGACGGGACAATAAAAAATACCACGATACAATATCTTTCTTCTCTCCCAACTCTAGACTCTCCTACATTTGTCTTTAGTCAATTTTCCGATTGTGATGTTAGGAAGAGCATACTCTCTATTAACTCCAACGCAGTTGGTAGCGATGGTATCAGCCGTGATATGATCCTGCCTATCCTAGAGGAAATCATTCCTGTCCTTGTTCACATATTTAACTTCTCCATGGCAACCGGAAACTTTCCAACTGCTTGGAAAGAAGCATTAGTAACTCCATTACCTAAGAAATCAAATCCATCCAGTTTCTCCGATTATCGTCCGATTTCTATCCTACCCTTCCTATCTAAAACTCTCGAACGTCTTGTCTACAACCAAATTAATCCCTATCTTTGTAAAAATTCCCTTCTAAATTCCCTCCAATCTGGTTTTCGTCCTAGACATAGCACCACCACCGCACTGGTTCATATCACGGACGATATACGGTCAGGCTTTGAGGATGGCAAGCTAACTGTGCTGGCGCTGCTAGACTATAGTAACGCCTTTAACACTGTTGACTTCGACGTCTTGCTTGCCATAATGTGCTCTCTTAACATATCTCCGACGGTTGTTGACTGGTTTCGTAACTACCTGTTCGGGCGTCGGCAGCGTATTCGAATCGATGAAAGACTCTCTGGTTGGTGCACTACAACTGCCGGCGTACCACAGGGTGGCGTTTTATCTCCCTTGCTCTTCGCGGTTTTTATAAACTCTATTTCCAATAGCTTAGCTTCATCTTACCACCTTTATGCAGACGATTTGCAGATCTATGCTCAAGCACCCGTGGAACAACTAGGAGCAGCGATCTCGATTATTAACCGGGATATAGAGCAGATTTGTACGTGGAGCAGGCAACACGGGTTAATAGTGAATCCATCTAAAACACAGGCAATCATTATCGGTGGCACTAGGACATTATCAAAAGTCGATTGGTCACATCAGCCCCAAATATACTGCGATGGGGCCTTAGTTCCGATCTCGAACACCATAAAAAATCTGGGAATTCACCTCGATAAAAACTTGTCCTGGGGTCCGCAACTACAAGAAGTCAGTAGGAAACTGTTTGCTTCTGCTGGATCTCTGAGAAGGCTGCGTAACTTTTTACCAATTACGACCAAAATTGCGCTTGCAGAATCCCTTCTTCTCCCAATCCTTGACTACGCAGATACCAGCTATCCCGATCTCACCGAAGACCAACTTAATAAGGTTGAGCGGCTCCAAAACTTTTGCATAAGGTTCATCTTTGGATTGCGCAAATTTGACCATATTTTTGAATTTCGGAATAAGCTTAACTGGTTACCCATTCGTCTTCGCCGGAATATTCATATCCTTTCACTATTATACAATATTCTCTTTAATCCCAACACTCCCCTTTATTTAAAGGAACGCTTCAGATTCCTACGTGATACGCATTCAAAGTCCTTAAGATCGTCAGAGAGCTTGACTTTGGAAATGCCGAAGCACACCTCGACTTTTATGGACAAGTCATTTACAGTGCAGTCTATACGCTTATGGAATGCATTGCAACTGCCCATCAGACGAGCACAAACACTGCCTTGTTTCAAAAGGTTGCTGAAGGAGCATTTCGAGCGAGGGTCCCTTCACTCAGTCAGAAATCTTATATTTATCTGTCTGTTACTTCTATAGTCTCTGTTAAATGTATATTTTGTGTAATTAATTTATTGTGTAGTGATGTGTGTATGTGTTTAGTGTATATGTTTGAATTCGTTTGTATAATCAAATAGTCTTAATTTACAAAAACTCCGATCTACAAACTGCAACCCCCTATCTCACTCCTATTCTCCTTCTCCATCCAGTGGTTGCCTGGAAGAGATCGCAAAACGCGATAAGGCCGCCAATTGTACAAATTTTAATACTTTACTCTCCATGTTACAATAATTTAACTTTAGATATAAGACACACAATGTATACAAACTGATTTCTTCTTTTTTATTATGTTTTTTGTACAATAAAGAGTTATCTATCTATCTATCTATCTATTTTACAAATATTTATGAACGAAAACGAAAGTTACACACCTAATCTGTAAAACTTTACAAATAAATAAGAGCCGTTAGTATTATCAGATGTAAAGTCCTTTTAAGTTCAACAAATTCAATATTTTTATTGTATGTCAAATACTTTCTTAATAGCCTTTGTGGGTATTGCCATATCTAGGGTACGAGGGGTTCAGATTTACTGTGGTTTCTGATCTTAATTGTTTCAAAAATTGTATTCCACATTAATATTAGAGCAATATGCACAAAATATTGAACTTACAGAACATAGTTTATTGGCCATTTTATTTTTAATCTCAATAATGGGACAAATAATGATTACTTGGTATTTAGTTTTCATTACTTGACGCTTTTGATAAATTACCTGTTTTTAGTGACAAGATACTGTTTTTGGCCACTATTTTTATTTTAACGTTTCCTTGTTTATTAGAAAATCTGAATCTTTTAATGGTTTTTCTCAAGATTCGTGGATTATACTGCGCTGTAACTTAATGTTCTACATCGCCTAGATGGGGCAGAGAACGTTCAAAGTAAACCTTGAGTTTCTTGCTGGTTTTCACTCCACGCCTTGTCTAGTGTTCTACTTTCAGGATTCATGTATGTTTATGATTTTCTTTATTGATTTACACTCATAAATGCCTGAAGAGATTTGGTAAATAAATATGGTAAGTTTGAGTTTGTTTTATGACAAGAAAGTTGTTCTTTCATTTATTTAATTACGTTACTTTCAAGTTTAATCGTTTTCTGGTTATATTTGTAGAACAATTCCTAAACATAGGTACATATCTTTTTACATATACCGTAGATGGTTTCATTTTTAAATTTCAGTGAGTATATTCACTAGAAGTAAGTACTGTTTGTCTGAGATATGATAATATGGAGGCGAATAACTTTATAGATTTGAGAGAACACATAGCACCTCTCTTCACGTATGGATAATCATGTACATGGAAAACTATTTGAGAATTCTTTGCATCATGTCTTTCGTAATGTACATTTAATTGTACATATTATAATATTTTCCCGTGTTCCCGTGATTCCCGTGTGTGCGCGCTCAACGCACGGTTGTGTGTATCAATTTAAGTGCATAAGCAGTGACTAAATACCCATTTCGCAAATAAATACTTAAGTAATTAAGTCGAAGTAAAAATGGTGCAATGTAAGAAATGCAAACTGTTTCTATCTTTGGCTAAAGAGGATATAGTGAGATGTAAGGGTGAATGTGAAAATGTTTACCATAAAAAATGTGCAAATAAAAAGTTCCTGAATAGTACACTCTGCGACGACTGCCAGACAAATAAAAGCAGCCCTAAACAGTTCGTAGATGAGACGAAAATTACATTAAACCCTCGAGAAGAGTCTGGAGAGAACGTTTTGGCTGAGGTAAATAAAAAGTTAGCGGTGATTTATAACCTGGAGAAAAAAATAGAAGAACTTACCAACAGCGTTGAATTCTATGCTGACATGTATCAAACATTACTTAATTTCAAAGAAGAGTCACAGAAAAAAATGAAGACTTTAGAACAAAAAAATGTTTATTTGGAGAAGTGTAACAAGGCATTAGAAGAACGGGTACAAGAGTTGGAAATGAAAGATAAAGAGAAAAACATTGAAATTCACGGATTAGAGAAGCACGAGAACGAAAATACCAAATTAGTAGTCCAAAAAATGGCACAGAAACTGAATCTGGACCCAAATGATATTGAAGAGGCACAGAGGGTAGGCCAAGAAAAACCAGACGACACAAAGCCCAAGACTGTGTTGGTCACGCTTCGGTCTAAGTCTGCTCGCAGCAGCTGGATGCTTGTAAAGAAAGAAAACAAAATAACGAATAATAAAGTCTATGACAATGGCAGTGAAAAGCGAATATACATTAACGAAGATTTACCAAAATACAAGCGCCAGCTTCTGTGGATGGTAAGAAACCAACTTAAGCCGAAGGGTTTTCAGTATATTTGGGCACAAAATGGTAATATCCTGGTGAAAAAGAATAGTGACGAAAAAAAGATCTATAACATTAGATCGGAGGTAGATTTGAAAAAGATCGATGAATGTAAATAAACACGCGTACATGACGCGGCGAGTACACACGTGCTGATATCTAACAGCAACATTCGATCGTATAGATAGTTTCTCCGATAACTTTAATTTCAAAAGATACTATGATATACTAGCTGTAAATAACGACCTATCCCAAAATATATGGAATACCCACATATTTCATATGAACATAAGATCGCTTCGGAAACACTTTAACGAGTTGTTAATATTACTTGATAAAAATGAGTATAAAATAGATATATTAATACTAAGCGAAATAAATATAAGGAAGGAAGAACTTGCATTGTACCAAATAGTAGGATATAATACATTTATACATACTAGAGAAACGAGAAGAGGAGGAGGAATATTAATTTACGCTAAGAATGCATTAAACTTCGAAGCTAAAATGATAAACACAGAAGCAGTAGAAACAATTCATGGTCAATTGAAACACGGGAAAAATAAAACACATATTATCGCGATATACAGACCACCGGCCAATAATAAACTAATATTTATAAAGGAATTAGAGAATCTACTGCAATCCGTGCCAGCATCTGACAGTGTTATAGTAATTGGCGACACCAATATAAACATATTGAACGACACGATTAATCCGACTGTATCAAGGTACAAAAACGCCCTGTGTGAATGCGGCCTGCTGTGTGTAATACCGAGCGAAGAAGCAACGCGCGAGGCGATCGCGGGCGACCGGCTTGAGGCATCGTGTTTGGATCATATCTGGGTGCGAGCGGGACGGAGCGGGCGCGACGCGTGCGCGTATGTCCTTGAGTCACGAATCGCCGATCATCATGGAATCGGAATAATGTTGAATTTAAGTGTGATTGGAAGCGAAAATCAATGTGTGAATGACAATTTTAATAATAATAATAGTATGCGCGAAGTGTTAAAGGACAAAATTGTTAAACAAAAGCTGGATGAATATGACTGGGCCCAGTTAAATACAATAACGTGTCCGGTATTATTATATCAGACGATGTGTAGTGTATTTAATCGTATTTATAAGGAAAGTACCATTAAAACTAAAATAGATAATAAGAAGGTAATAAGACAGCCATATACAGACATATACAATGTTATTGCGAAGGGATTATTTATTTAGAGTTTGGAAAGCAGATCCAAAGAGTGTGAACAAACGGTTAGACTATACAAAATTTAGAAATAAAGTAAATAAATTAACAAATATGGCAAAAAAATAAATATAGACAGGAACAAATTGTAAAATGCAATGGAGATTTTAGAAAAATATGGACAAACATAAACATGTGGCTGGGTCGAAACAAAACTAGCGTGGACGATGTTATTTTAAGGCATTTAGGAAAAACAGATAATATAAAACAGATTTGTACAAACTTTTCTAAAACATTTACGGAGGAAATAAAGGAAATGAAACATGTATGTAACTTGAAGTTTTTAGACAGAAATAAATATGTAAAACCGAGCGAGGTAAGCTATAGATACAAGAGGGTGACTTCATCAGATGTAGAAAAGGTCATAAGAACATTGTCCTGTGAGAAAGCACCCGGTTTAGATGGAATACGGGCGCAAGACATTATATATTTACGTAAGCAAATAAGTCCTGTTCTAGCTTCATTCATAAATATGTCCTTATCAAACGGTATTTATCCAGACCAATTAAAAAATGCAATTGTACGTCCCATATACAAATCAGGCAGTCACCTTGAATATGTTAACTATAGGCCTATCGCAATATTATCTGTTATAGACAAAATAACTGAAAAAATTATTGTAGGACAGATTAGCGCGTTTCCGTCAGCACGGTTTCCGGAGAGGGCGCAACACTGTCTCTGCCTTGTTGCGATTTTCAGATTACATTAATGACTGTCTAGATTCGGGCAAACAAATTATAGCACTGTTCATCGATTATAAAAAGGCGTTTGACACTTTAGACCATGAGATCTTATTACAGGCAATGGACGAATGCGGAATACGCGGTCCCACAAAAAATTGGTTTAAAAACTACATCACTAACAGAAAAATAAGCACAATTATCTCCCGAGTGGTTGGGAAAGAGGCGGATGTCGATCAGGGTGTGCCTACTGGATCGGTGTACGGCCCTGTAGGATATATAATGCATGTAAACGGTGTGTCAAATGTCGTACATAAATGTGAGGTGTTCATGTACGCTGATGACATGTGTCTTGTTTATGCCTCCAAAAACATAATTGAGGTACAAATGTGTATACAAAGTGATTTTGAAAATATTTGCAAATGGGCACACGACAATGAAATTATATTAAATCTTGCAAAAACTAAATGTATGCATATACACTCACCGTATAATCGAAATGCTAAATCTGTAAACAATGAATACCTCACAGTGATGGGACATACGTACGAATGTTTGCATATTAATAAATGTAATTGTAATTGTAAAAAACTGGAGTATGTAGATAAATTTAAATATTTAGGGCTAACAATAGATAAGAACTTTAACTGGAGATTACATGTAAATGACATTTGCAATAGGCTAAGATCGGTGCTTAGTAAGTTTTACCAATTAAAAAATGTATTGAACAAACAGACGCTAAGAACAGTCTATTTCGCACTTGCTGACTCGCTACTAAGTTATGGACTCCTTGTATACGGTCGAACCTTCATTACATATTTAAGAGATATAAAAGACATACAAAAAAGACTGATCAAATTTCTAGTGGGTAAAAATATGAAAGATAAGTGCAACAAAGATTATGATAAATTATTTCCCATTTGTAAAATTATACCCATAGATAAAAAGGTAGATTATTTGATAGGTCTGGAATATTACTTTAAGGATGAATATAAAGTTAATGTTAAAAACAAGTACAACTCACGTAGGGTTAGAGAGAACAAACTGGTTCAACCACGGATAACAAATTATTATGGTAAAAGAACATCTAAGTATTTAGTACCTAAAGTGTTTAACAAAATAGATTTATTAAGAGAAAAAGTAAAAATCAGTAAAGGGTCACTTAAGACAAAATTAAAAACCATTATACAGGATTGCGACTAGAAATAAATAAGTGTCCATTATAGTAAATTAAACCAAAAAAAAAAAAAAAATTAATATATAAGTGGTGTTAGTATTTAATTCATATATTACATGCATATTATTCTTACTTACAAGGGTAGTACTAAAGTAATAACAAAATATCATGTGTTTATATGCATATTACTATATTATGTGTCCAATATTAAGTGAATATGGGGTGAATCATGGTTATGTGAGAGAGCGCTTCTCGCCTTCAAACGTAAAAGTTTGGCGAGTTTAGAATTAAGTAACCTATGTACTATAATTTAATTATCAGAATAAAAAAAAAAAAAAAAATTCTCTTAGAATTATATATTACACACTACTCAATGGTAAAAAAAAAGTACAAACACTGTTCCTGTACCTATCTATACTTATTATAATTTAAAAATGTTAATTTAAGTGTCTGTGTAGTTTCCTAAGATTTATATTGGAACGAAGTTCCTAATCGCGCCTTACACGATCTGAGCGGATAGGAGCGAGACCGAAAAATGTGTAACAAGACTTTTTTCAGCATTCAGCATTTAATTTATCATTATTTATTTGATACATAATAAAAGAACTGCGTTAGGGGTCTATGGACCCCCGGTCAAAACGAAGTTCCTTTCGCTTTTTGATAGAAGTTTTTTCGTCGTGTCGCTAAAGAATTTTCTGGATGTTGATGTTTCGTGACAATAGTATGATTAATTACTCCACACTGACACCACTGTAGTAGTATTAACATTGCACTCTTGCGCAGCCGGGCGGATCGCTAGTACTTTATATTATTAAATATCAAGTTATTAGAGTTAAATTGTTTTTTTTTGGTAAAATATATTTTTGGAACGAAGTTCCTTATCCCTAAAGCAGGCTGTATAGCAAACGTCTACAAAAAAGCGAAAAGAATTCCTTATCGCGCGTTACACGATCTGATCGGATGGGACCGAGATCGAAATATGTGTAACAAGACTTTTTTCCGACACTATAGCATCCTCTACCGAAAAGGAACTTAGTTCTGACCGGGGATCCATAGACCCCTCATGCCGTTTCTATGTTATAGGGGAGCAAACAAGCAGACGGGTCACCTGATGGTAAGTGACGACCGTCGCCCATGGACCCCTGCCCCAGAATCGGAGGCAGGAGACGGGAGAGGGTTTGGGCTCCGGTAACCTCACTAACTCGGTAAAAAGCAAAGAACTGCTTAACAGTTTTCTGTGAGGCCGTGGTATCACTCCGGCTGAGCCTTGCCCATATGTGTTAAATGGCTCTCCCAAGGGAATGTTTATTTATGTATTTTTCTAAAGAACGTTGGTATGAAATCGGCATACTCTTGGCGCACATTTTCGCAAACTAGTGATGAGTCTGTGAAATATGAGAAACAAATTTGCGAATTGCTATTATATTATGTTGAGTATTTTGTAGATATTTTTGCATATAACGTAATGAACGCCATTTGACATTGGGTTACTCAAATTCCTCCTTTATTCTGCGATCCAAACTTTTAATTTTTATAATCTTTTCTTAAAATTTTTAGAGAATCCTATTATCGAGTATAACTTTTCGAAGGGTCGCTCAATGTTACAAACATTTTGGACGATAAACCCAAACCGAGCAGGTTTGGGTTTATTGTCCAAAATTTGGTTTTCCACATTATGGTTGAATTTAGCCATACATCTAATTGTCATTTAATTCATTTAGAGGAATATGTATGTGTAGAATTTTCACATGATGTCATCAGATTATAAACAATATCTATGTTAATATTTTTTTAAACAGATGAGTTTTACAAGAGGATGGTTGGCAGAAAATAATTATAAACGGGAATAGGCAGAAAATAATTATAAACGGGAATAGGCAGAAAATAATTATAAACGGGAATATATTATTGTCCTTGTCATTCATCACATTGGGTTGCGTGGTATTTATTTGAAATACATAATATTACACCATATACTACGAATTTACACTTAGTCCTATTATGTTAATCATAGTTTTAAACGAATTAGGAACGATATTATTGATTAATCTTTTTTTAAATTATTGATCTATGTCCGTTGTAACAATAGGTGTGGGAGATATTAATATTTCATGTAATTTCCTTGACAGACGTGAACATCTATTTTTTTGGCTTTTGTTCATCTTACAGTGTAATTTGTTACACATTTTAATAAGGTCCTTAATGTTATCTTATTTTTGAGGATTCAGTAGTCGTTAGTGAATGTGTTCTTTTTACTCCTTTTGAATTCATCTGAGATGGTTGTGAAAAGCCTTGATTTACTGGGGTACATTTCGGGTCATCCTGAGGGTGGGTAACAATTAAATCATCACATCTATCGAATATATCAATAATTTCTTTTGCTGTTTGTTTTTCCATTTCACGGGGGTAGTCTTGAATATGTTTTATATTTTGTGGGCAATTTTTAGCTAAATGCCCCAGTGTATTACAAGTAAAACATTTTAGAGCATCAGTAGATGTATAGATCCAGTAATTAGTGCCTTCAAATGTAATATAATTCAGTGACTGACACTATAATTCAGTCAATCAAATCCATAATATGACAACTTGGATAGTAGCAATGACGTATTTAGAGCATCAAAGGCCCTGGAAAAATCCAATAATACCAAAATCGATCCCTGTCCTGTGTCCTGTGCTGCCAAAATATCGTCCGCAACATCCAGCAATGCAGTCGCTGTTCCCCTATTCTTCCTAAAGCCTGATTGTTTATCTGGTAGGATGTTGTTAACCTCCAGATATTTCGTTAACTGTGCGGCCATGACTTTTTCTAGAACTTTGGAAAGACATGGTAAAATGCTTATAGGACGGAGGTCTCGCACTGAAGTTACATCGTTGTTCTTTGATATTGGCCTCACGATGGCTGTTTTCCATAAGGAAGGGAACTTGGATGTCACAATAGACTGGTTCACTATAGTGGCAAGCAAGTCCAATGTGTGAGGCATTGTTAAACTTATCATATCTAATGTCAGGCCATCAATTCCTTTAGCATTCGATTTTATACCTTTTTTAGTAACTTAACTATGTCAGATGTGTTAACAGTACTGAGGACAAATGTACTACTACTAAAGCGATTAAA